AACCCAAACAAAAAAGAAGGGATAAATGATTGCCTATACACTAAAAAACCCAAACATATCTATGAGGTTTCAGGGACCCAGAAATCACTGAAAACAGGAGAAATGGGAAGTCAAAATCTGTAGAAATATCAGTCCCAAATCTGTCTTTTATACACACACCAGAATTCATCACAGCAGTTGTAGGGTGGACCCTAAGAGTCACACTGGACTGCATGTTCTCAGAGAGCAGTGAGACAACATCTGTGTTTAAGTCTCTCTGTCACCTTCCCTGACCATTACAAGCACCACTGGCTGAAGGAGGCACCTCAGAGGGACATTATCCTCCTCTCCCATTTTTTCTCATGTGCAAGTTCAGGAGACTTTAATTTCCATGCTTTGCTTGGAAATGCATACATTAGAGCTGGCACTAACATCAGCAATGTATTATACAAGGGCCAGAGAAGGCAGGTAGACAAATTTTGAATGGCAATACCAGTGCAGAGCTGTGAACTGGGAGTCAGCCACCTTGAAAGAGTCAGAGGCTTCTAGGTGAGGATGTCACCAATTCCTGTATCCTGGACAAGTGGTGCTCTCCAATAGCTGTAAAATAACACGGACCATCTAATTGCCAGCATTTCAACTCCTGTGGCACCAAGATGTCCCCTGACTTGTTTTTTATTAAATTAGCATGCTCATTTTCAAAGACAAACACAACCTAGTACATCAAACTTCGTAAGTTCCCAGTGCTGAGCTAGGCAATCCATGCTGGCGGCTTGTGAGCCACAAGATCTTCCCCCCATTGACTTCAAGCATCTTGGGTCACTGAAAACACAGAGTGGGATTCAGTTCCAGATACTTATGTTTTAGGTGTACACAGGTGCACTATATGTTAAAACTACTGTCACAGTCAGTGGAGCCTAGAGCGCAATTTAGTTGCTCAGATGTCTGCTTCAGGCTAAACGCAGTGATTCTCCAGGCTCCGCTGACTGTATCAGATTTCTGCTGACGGTGAAATGAGCTTAAACAATTGTCTACAGGTGAGCAGTGTAAATTTAGGCTTGCATTAATTTTGAAATTAAGACAATATCTCACTATACTAAATTTATAGGGAACTTGGATTCCAACTTTTGAAGCTCTGAACCACAGCTACGTTCAACAGAGTAAAGAAAGCATCTCCCTTGTCAGATATTAAGAGTGAATTTATTTTCTTCATTTAAGGTACTCCACACTGGGAGCAAGGCAAACTACGCTAGCATCACAAAAAATCCATAGAGAACCAGTTTATTGTAAATTTACATATCAACTTATATTTCATAGACTGCTCTATGTACACAAACCTCTAGCTGCCATTACCTGCCCAAGGAATAACAATAAAAACATAAACATCAAGCAAGGGCAGGCTTTCAGGCTAACTTGCCCTTATTTATAGATTAGAGAGCAGACAGGGCAATCCTATCATGAAACTAGAATGAACTTTACAGAGGCTGGGTTTCCAAAAGTGCAAGGAGAGACTGATTTGGGCATTGATGTATTGAAGGCAAAATTGCCTACCCATTAAGACTTGTACCTGATGTGTGTAATTCTGAGTTAAGTGCGCAGACACCCTTCTAGGAGTGTTCCTTAACTCTGAATAAACTCTGAATCCATTGCTCAAAGGCCCCTCCAACTCGGTCGGCGTGTGTCTTGGAATCTACGAGGTTAACAAGTAAACAACATTGCCGTTGACATTTTTAACAACAAAAGCAACACCAGTCCAGGAAACTCAAGCCACGAAAAACCCCCTCGTATAAACAGATGCAGGAATGATCAACACTTTTCCTGCTCCAGAGGCACATAAAACAACCAGATTTTCAAACCCAGAGTGGGCCAGACAGGATGACACTGTGAGAATGATTGAGCCCTGTAGTTCCCACCACTACAACGGGAGAAGTGAGAAGAGACCTCGGGAAGATGCAGATGCAACAGAGGGAATATTAACCAAAGGAGACAGAATAGATCTGAGGACATTTTGCTTCTACTGAGAAACCAGTAATTCTTTAGACAATGCCATATCTTTCTGCTACAAAAAGACCAAGATGGGCCACCTGGGCTATGACATGAAGGAGCTTAAAAAGTTCGTAATTTTCCTCTAATGGGTAAGAATTCTGTCACACCAGGACTTCTAACTACATCTTTTCATAGACTAAACCATAACACAATAAACTAAAGTACAGGCTGCGAGTTACGTAAAACTATTCCCATCTGATCACCAATCAAGAAATTTTAAGAAATAAGTCTGCGTATGGAATATTAAACTGGCCATTTTGAACAGACGCAGCATCTTTCTTATTTTAGATATACGTAAATCTAACACTTAAATATTTAAAATACAAACCTCGTGCAACAACTTCAAATTAAAGACAAATTTCTACAGAACTTGTGAGTGTTCAACAGTGCAAAATTAGCTTTGCCTTAGCATTTTAAATTTTAGCAATAAAATAGAAAATAATAAAATAGCAATGGGAAGCTATCTTCATAATTGATCACTTTTATATGACTTCCTGGAGCACTAACATCAATTATGCTCGTATGTCAAAACAATGTTGGCACACTGCCAACGAAGATTCAGATCAGGGCCACTGATTTATTCATTTATTCCTTTTTGGAAATCAGTGAATGGTACAGTCAACTTTCGGGTGTTAAACATGAATACTATACTATGAAGTATAATGAATGAAAAGCCAGTGTGTCTTTGTTGGACATACAAGTAAAAGGGAAAATGCATTTATTGTAACTTGCTTCATTTCGAGGCTGCAGTCCAGCCACCTGTAAGTATAGTATTGACCGGCTGCTGCTAGCAGAGTCTATCTCATAAGAAATAGGTGATTTCTAATTAGCAAGGTATGATATAACAAAGCATGTACTCGTTCAGAGGCCTTTATTTTGATTTCAGTCTCACATATGTAACCAGTTTTATCAAGCAACCATTCAAAATATGATGTTGTTGATAAAAATTGACATGGCTTTCAGTATTTTATGGCACAAATAACGTTTCTTTTCCTCAGCCACTTGATGATAGTGCTTTTCCGGTTACAGCGGATCGGGTGCTTCTTGCTGTGTACTACATTGTTGCATATGAAAAACCCCTATCAAAACAGGATATCCAAGGCAATCATTTATCTTATGAACATGAAAGCACGGTACATATTCCCAAGTAAAGGGAATGGCCTCAGATGCCAGTGCTGGCTTACAGTCCTGCATCGGTGAGCCTGACCCTCATGTAAACAACAGTCCGTTGGGAGGCTGTTTGTTACGGATTTATTAGAAACCTTGTCGATAACTTACTTGTGCTTTTGATAATTCTGTATTTGGTTGCCAGGAGACTTGTGTTCCTGACGAGATAAAATGAACAGGAAATCCTCTATAGCCTTGTCACTTTTTTCACTAGTAAATAAAAATCAGAACAACCATTACAAAATACTAGCTACTGTAAACAGAAGAGAGAAAAAAAGACAAGCATTGCATATTTTAAATAAAGCAACATACAGCCCTTTTTGCCCTCTCCAATTATAAGATGATAAAAGATCACCTTTATAAAGTAGAATGACCGGATTTTGTGGAACGTGGCTGTTTTGGCTCCAAGGTATTTGTAGCGTTATAGTATCAGAGCCAGGATACAGCTGCCTTGTGACTAAGACGTCGTTCACTGAATAAGTGCTATCCAATCCCTCGACGTCACCAGACATCTGTTTCCTGTTTTCATTCTTTCTTTCACTGTTATCATTTTATCCAAGTTACCCTTTCACCTGAAAACCATTTAGAAGCCTACAGAAACCAGCGCGTGCACGCGCATGTATATCAAAGAAATTGATTTAGGAAAAAAATTGCTGAGAGCAATTTGTTCATTTTAATACAAAAAGCAGGAGTGGAAACAAAGTTGCCTTCCCCCCCCTCTTCTCCTCCCCAAAATACACAATGATACATAAACACTTTTGTCTTCTGGTCTTCACTAATATGACTAACTTCCTTCTTCGCTTCCAGTTAAGTAGCTTTCCTGTTGAGTACCACCACCTCCACAAAATACAATTGTGAATTGATTCATAAAAACAGAAACATTATGGCACAAATAAGGGAAGGCAATAAATACTCTTCCCTGCCTCCAACTCCTTCCCAAATGGAGGCAGTAGTATTGTAATAACAAAAAGAAAAAAAAAAAAAAAAAGTATTGCTTGTCATTTAAGTTTCCAAACCAACAATCATCAGGATGCAGAACAGGATACATCTAAAGCGAGAAAGTTATTTACTTCACATTCAAGTTAACACTAGCTATACTTTTTTTGGCACACGGTATTATTCTTAATGTGCCAAAAAAGTGTTGTGCACCTTATAAAATATGAATGTTAACGCCACTAAGAACAAATTCCTGCTATTCACAATCCAATTTTATATTGGTGTTGTTTTGCTATGTTTCACCTATACTTAAACCACGAATCAGGAGAACGACCATTACTGACAGCATCCAACACAAATGAACAACGGACAACAGAAGCTGAAGAGCAAGTTGTCAAAAATTAGTGACTTTCCACTGTTAATCTCTGGATTTCAGATTATTTAATCAGCATGAGAATAAAAGACTTGTTTTATTTTGTCTTGCGATTACAGATGCTCATATTAATTGACAAGGCAGTTTGTTGAGTGAAGCAAGAATCTGGGCTGGTTGACAAACACCAGCAAAAAAATTCATCCGCTTCTTGTTACTCTCTGAAAGAAAAGGAAGATATTTTAATTTTTTTTTTTAATTGTTTTTTTCCTCCCCCCCTTGAGGCAGGCAAGTGAAATACAGGTGTTATACAGGAGAAACAGGCGATTCTGGCACTCACAGGGCTTCCCCTACGAGATGGGATGGTTTGGCAGCTACAGGAAACTGTAAGTAGCATTTCCAAAGGCACATGAAAATTGGAAAGCAAGACTTATTCTTCAGACTGTTTCCTAATAACGAAGTTATCCCTATTTTAAAGCCAAATTCAGCTTCCATTAAAGTTCATGTAATTCTGAAGCATCTCATTAACTTCTGAGGAGTCAGATCAAGTTCCAACAGATTAACTTGGTCTCCTCTCTCATCTTTCAATTTACTGCCTGGTTCATCATACCCAAATGCCCAATCCTAAGCTTCCGTATGGAACCTAGAATACTTCTGCATAGTAATAGTATGGTATTCTGGAGAGATTGATGACACAAACGTTTCTTGGAAAATATTTTTCAAGATTGTAGCAAGTTGGTTTGATTAAAATACTGTTTCCCATAAAAATAATTTGTTCCTAACTTTTCACAACATCTCAGTTCATTTGTCCACTGTCACATACGCAATCTGCGATCAAGCTGAAAACTCAATCCTAATTGTCTACTTTGTCCATCACATCCCCATCCTTCACGATCTACTGTCACTGTCTAATAGTCATTGACTCTGGATTCTGCTATGCATTTTTATTAATGCCACTACATTTGTGTCTGGACAAGTCTTAAATTCTGTTTGAATAATAAACCCCATTGATTTAAAATAGCTTTTTTTTTTCTTTTAAATTTAGATAGAAAGTTCTTTTAAACTGCACACCCTGCCTTCCTCAATTCCATCTGAAGGAATAAGACAAAAATCGAGACCTCTCAAGCTCTAGAATTACTGATAGCAGTGACAAAACCCAAAACATTGCTATGGAATTGAAGAGGTTAGTGAATTCTTCTGTACTTTGTTATTTCTGGTTGTTTTTCATTTTCCCCATCCAAAAATAGATGGTCTACCGCTTAGAGGTATTCAAGACACCATTTTCTAAAATGTAAAATATAATATTATGTAATATGATTGTAAAACTATTATTAGTTTTGTATAGCCATGTTTCTGATTTTAAATTGACGGGGGGAAAAAAATACAAGCTAATTATTAAGTCAAGTTACTCTTTGGAATCATCCTCTGAAATAAATGCAACATTGAAACATTTTGTCTGAAAACATAACTGGCAAATCATTGCAAGAGAAAGTGTCTGAACACACCCTTTATGTCAGACTCTACACTGCTTCCAAATGCTACGACTTTTCCATACACTGTATTATGACAATAAAGAAGTTGAGCTACACCAGAAGATTACATAAACAAAAATTTAATGTTTTGTCTAGTATAACAGAAGTCTTAAAAAAAAAAAAACCAACAAACACCACTTCGTATTCATTATTTCATACCCAGATGTTTCCTGTACACCTGCAGTTGTCTCCAGTCCTGAATTCACGAGCTATAGTATTTTAACAGCCTCTCATCAGTTGGTTTTAGAATTTTCTTGTCTGCCATGTTTACGATCCATCCTGGAGCAAGACCAAAAAAAATCTGTCTAGGATCCTTGCGTGCGCTTAACATTTTGAAGAGTTCATCCTTAGTTATGTCTGGTAAGACATAACCATATTTCTTGGCAAGTTCAAGCCTGGCTTCTGCAACCTTAGATGGATCTGCCAGGTACCCACGATTCCTGGCATCTGTGTAGTAACGGACTAGATCTTCCGGTGGAAGCATTCGCTTTGGAATAGGCTGGCCACGCAGAAAAAATACTACTGGCTTACATAAAATTTCTGTGGGCAAACATGAGAGAAAATTAGATACTGTGCTTTATAATACCTATTTAAAGACATTAAATGACACCTTGTTATTTAGTATTTTGTGCTAAATAAATTATTAAACTCTTATTAAAAAGTATCAAGCAAAAAAAACAGATCTTAAGAATATTCTTGTTCAGAATAAGATAGTGTTTAACAAGTTTCACTTAACCAAACAACTATGTTTTAACTGATTATTTATAGTGACAATCTGGATGAATCATTACTTCTGATACATTTAGAATGTCTACTTTGGAAAGACACAATAACTAAGCTAGAAGATGCCATTTATTTAAAGGATTGACTTCCAGTTTAGAAGCAATGCATTTGCATGGCTATTTACACAGCGTACCAACAAATGTCAAATTTAGTGTTTCTATAAGTATTTTAAATAAAGAATCAATGGCGTGTGCACCTATTTAGTAATTTGTGAGACTATCCTCTCCTCCTCAAGTTTTACTGAATTTGGCAAATTACATTCCAGATCCTTTTAACCTCAATATTTTTCCAATCCAGAAAATAATCAAAAAAGAACTTTTATCACTCCAGGGTAACGCATTTTGCACACTAAAAATGTCTATTCCTCTTGTTCTCAGCCTCATTCACACATGAAAGCTCCATTATTGTCAATAAAAAACGTATGAATGAATATTAGGCAGGATGCAGCCTCAAGCAAAGCAAAGCCTCATTCTTCAGTGAAAGTGTTCTGAAAACAATAGCCATTTTGACTGGAACGATTCTGAGCTTCTGTAACTTAGTTATTTCCTCACTTTAACTGGGAAAGTATTTTAAATTAAAAATACAAACATCCACAGTGTTTTTTAAATCTAATTTTTTTCCTGAATTTTCTTAGTTTATTAAACACGTGAGAAAGTTAGAAGACAAAAATTCAAAGGAACAATCTTTTATCAGTTCCTCTATTTACAAAGCTACTTCGATTTCTTTAACTGGCTGATTGGTAAGTGACTACTAACACTGGTAGGGCTAAACAGATGAACGGTTGAAAAAAGCAAACCTGAGGATCATTACAGTTCAACATTTGTATAACGATGTGTTGTTGAAGCTTTTAGAATAGAAGTTGTTGATGATCTTCCAGTAAGAACTAAGTTTGAAGCTTTGATTTGGTTCATTTAATCTTTGCACATTTGGGGGCAGGGGGGTGGGGGAAGTCTGAAATGGAAAGAAATTCTTACCCAAACTCCTTGGATCATAGAACGATGTTGTTACAACACCTCCATTTTTTTCTATGGTAGCAATTGCTAATTCAGATGCCCTCTGCACTTCAATATTTACTTTTGCTGAAAAGATATCAGCACCCTGTAAATTTCAACACATATTAGAGTAACATTAAAATTAGTATTGTAGGACATACATTACTTCTTCTCTGCAAAGTAGTTAAGAAACATTAAATCCCATAAAATATTGTGATTTGTCTGTTCCCTGCACCAAGACAGGTAACCAAATTGCCCTCACTCAAGTCACCTGGATTGAACGAAAAAAGTTTGCCTGTCCAAAATATTCATACATTTCTTTCAGTACATTCTAGTCTTCTGTTCTAAAATACAAGTTCAACCTCTTGTTATGTGCTCCTTAACTATTATTTTTGTAGGCTCTCAGGTCTTAAAACATCATCCTGGGTTTTTTTTTTTTTGCTAACACACAGTGCCCTCTAGTGGATTTATTATCACAAAAATTTCACAGCAAACCGATTTAGAAAAGCGAAGATGCTTCCAAAACATGGGAAGGACAATCTGACAGCCTGGCATGGAAAAACCGAAAACCCAAGGCTTTGCACTGCCTGAAGTAATAAGTGTCTTGTATGCATACCTCCTCCACCAGCTGGACACCATAATCCCTTTTGAGAGGTTGCACTGTTACACCTCTGGCGTTAGTGAGCTGTGTTAAGTCAATTGGTTGCGTGGGGTCAACTCTACCCAAATCAATCAGGTACTGCAGCCTCTGAAGACTGAGCGGTTGATACTGACGTCTGAGGCTGGGGAGAGGAAAACAGAAAAACCCAAACAAAACAATTAGAAATTTACAAAATTGAAGCTTTAATAGGAACTGGTCAACTGAGATACACCACACTGTATTCCATTTTCTACCTACTCCTAAAACTACCAAGTAAACATTTAAAACACAGCCATCCATAAGCCAAAATTTTAAGTTTAATTTAATGCAAATGCAAGCCCTACTTACAGCCCAAGACTCCCATTATTTATGCCTTCGGGTTTGCTCACACCCCCCCACCTCCAATATGATATTAATCATTTTGCTGTTGCCGAGCTCAGTTTACTCCAGAACACCTCTCTACCTGCTGACTGGTTTAAGGAAGCAAAAAAAGATGAAGAAATTTAAGTGTCAGCATTTCTTGGTAAGCCAACAAGATTCTAAATAACGACCATCTTCAAAGTGAATCCAGCTTGGTAGCTTCACTGATACATTTAGACCATCTGACAAAAAAAAAAAAAACGACAGTCAAAAGCAAATATATCCTCCCCTCCTATACAAATTTAGTCAAAGACTATCAGCCAAACCCTGTACGCGCTCCTGCACAGCTTGCCTATATTCAACAAGATTTTTTAGTCCATTACCACTGTACCGGACATCTCACAAGTACTGAATGGAATCTTCCTCAAAATATCACCAAGTGAGAGAAATATTGAGAAAATATGCATTAACCCATACCCCAAAGGAAACTGTAATATTTTGTCAATAGCCATCAGCTTCAGCAGAATCCACTTTTGCATTTTATGAAGTTCTAACTTTACTATACAAACCAATGCTTAGAATAGTTTTCCCGATCCCAGTGTCTACACCTACTGCATAGCATTTATGCTGACGCTCAAAACTTTCTCATACAATCAGTTTAACCACTGCTATTGGAAACCTGTCGGCAGTAGCAGAAAAACTGAGCAGCTTATCTTTGTTACTGGCAAGCTAAGTAAGACAAGACAAGCAACAGAATCTGCACTGTCAGACAGTTCCTAACAGAGCAAAAGTTCAAAAAGTAGAGGAACACCACTGCAGACAGAAAGAAGAGTGAGGTGAAGATAAACAGGCAGACATTGTTCAGCATGCTCCCATCCTGCCACAATAGCCTCTCTCAAGTGCATTTACAATGTTCACCGGAAAAACATTTACAATAGCCTGGCATTGAAATTTTGCCAACAACATTGAAAAGACATTACAGAGTACTTTTTTTTGTTTCCACATGCTGTCAGATGCGGTTAAAAACAGCAAGACCCTATTAATTTCTTGTCACTGCAGAGACTTGGATTTTTGCTGTTGGTTATTCATGAACTTGTGACCACTGTTAACATAAGCTCAGTGCCTGCATTCTGCAGCACTTCCTTTGTGGGATTGCGGATCTACACTGTCTTCAGCTATCAAAAGTGCTTCTCACTTACTCATAATAACTTAAGGAAACAGGAGGAAATTACAGTACTCGGAAGTATAGTTTGAATCACATTTCAAAACTAAGACGACAGACAGAGAAAACCTTTGATAATCAGGACAGGTCTGTAGGTTATACTGCATGCATAAAGAATGGAAATATAAAAACGCACAGCTATTTGATGAAGTTATAACAGCAAATGAAACATAAAATCAAACAGTAAGTTTAACAGTTCACAAATAAATTCACATAAGTCCTTTCATTCTTGAACTGCCTGCTAGGCGTGGCACGTTTTTGTTACTCCTGCCTATAACAACTTCTGTACCCATACAATGCTTTCGTGACCATACCTAAAAGCAGCAAAATGGTTAGTGACCAAGGTAACATACATGCCATATTAGGAAACAAAAACAGCTTTAAACAAAAACAAAAAAACAAACAAACAAAAAAGTGTAACTGTCAATATAGTGAAGGAAATGAATAAAACACTGGCATACAGATCTCCAGCTAAGAACAACGACTGGTTAAAAGAATCATTTTAAACATTAAAAAGCTGAAAGAAGGACATGGCACAAACAAGCACCATGTGAAAAGGGGACAGAAGTGTCAAACAAGGCAGAATGTCTGAGGAGAACAATTGTGAAAGATGACTTAATGGCTTCATCCAATAGATTTGATATTAAAGAGCTTGTTAAGATCCTAGGTGGAACAGAGGGCGTGCAGACAGACAAAGACTGCAGTGTTGCGGGGCTAAAAAAGTCAAGTCACAAAGAGAAGCAGAATTGTTTGGCTAGCAGCAGATCAGAGCTTCAGGTGAATAAAGTAAAGAGAAATAACAAAGCGAAGCTTTGGATTACACTTCCATGCCTAACATCCTCACTCGGGTCAATGGCACTGTTCCCAGTCAGTTCAATAGGTTATCTGCTGTGCAGACAGGCAAAGGGGGAAACAAGCACGTACAGAGGAGCGGTCTGTGAGGAGAAACGCATTCAGCTGTAGGAGGAAGGGTAACCTGCTACATACGGGGGATTATGCAAAGGGAAGGGCAAATAAGCAGAGCTGTAAAACAACAGAAAATAAATGAATTCATTAAAAAAATCTCACAAGAAATGGGAGATTCTGCTGGTAAGTAAGCTAACAATCTGAGAGGAATGTCTCATTTTTAGTTAGGCCTGTTTTGGTTAGGGTTCAGGAGAAAGGTCAAGAAAAGCAGACTGATTAATTTCTGAGTAAATGTGAAGAAACTTACCTATGTCCCTCATTAAACCCGTATTTTGGTATGGCCAAGTAAAATGGAGTTTGACCACCCTCAAAGCCTAATCGGGGGCGATTTCCTCTTTGTCTTTCTCCTTTGTGACCTCGACCACACTTCCTACCCCCATATCTTCCACGGCCACGTCTTCTCTCCTTGAAAACAATCAATGATACATTTAGTCAACTTCTTTGGATATAAGTATCTGTAAAATATAAGATTTCAGAGACACAAACAACTGAGCAAAATGCTGATCCTCGAGGAAAAATTAAGTGATAGCTCTTTTCTACAGGGAAAAATAGTCAGAAAAGCAGTTAATGTGATTTTTGCAGAGCACAGCTCTAGGCAGGCACCACAAATAGTCTGAAAGTTTACATGAACACACATTGCAATAAAAGGAATACTGGTATTTAATCCTACCTCTTACACCCTGCACTTTCCAAGTTAGAGAATTTTTCTGAATTAGCTACTGATATTTCCTCCTATTTCATGAGAAAGTTGCTCAGTGCTCAGAAGTTCCCAAACACTGACAATGACAAAAGAAATTATAAAAAAAGAAAAAAAAAAATCAGTTCTACTTCAAGGGGCAGGGGGACAGGCTATATATGCTATGCACACATATAATTCTTTTCACGGACTCAGACTTTCTAAAGGGCCTGCAACTGTTGCAATTTCTACTGACTACAAATCAAAAGAGAAGATTGTATTTTAAACCTTTATTATTTTTTAAATTAAGACTGTGATACTAAGCTATTAGTTTCCTGAGCACTTTAAATTAGCATTGCAGCCATAAGTAGCAGTTCAGCAATCTCCTTGTACTCACTTCCTATTTGTGCCAGCAGAAGCACTTGCACAGCTAAATGGTGAACGGCATTAAAGAGATAAGTAAAGGTAAAACCCTTTTTTTTTTTCTTTTTAAATTTAAAATCCAGGTCAGTTGCACCATTCAGTACAATTCACGGGTATGAAAATATCTATAGGATTACAAAGCAGGCAGTAAGCAAGGGTGGAAATGAGCAGCTGGGAGTGACTGCTATTAAATGAAGCGCTGCCAGCTCACTCTGACCTAATAAAGTTTTCTGTGTCAGGCGACTTCATTTAATTCATATACTGAAGAATTTGCAGCACTAAGGCTCACTTTGATTTTTTCACACTTTGTCAGGGATAAGACAGAGCCACAGGCTTCAGAATCTCACTGCCGTGCTGCACGGGGTAGAGTTCACTGTTCAGCTCCAAGAGGCACGATCACATCTGTGCATCGCTTTGATGGATCCATTTGACCTCACAAAGTTTTTCCCATTTAAGCTAACACTCACTGGCATGTGAACGCCTGTGGAAGGAGCAATGTCATGTTGCTAACTAGTCTCATATCTGCACAACACAATTCACACATCTGCTATCTTCCATTGTGTTCCTCAATGTGAATCAGTCAGACTGGGAAACATGTAAAGCAACACATTCTAAACAGTATTTGTACTGCTTATCAGCTAACTTTAGTTAAGTCACAGCACGGCCATTGTTGGATCAATAATAATGTAAATAATTCATTATTAAAGGGTCTACAGTAAGCCTCTTCAATTTCTCGGTTTTTGTATTCAACACTCAGATAGCCAGACTTCAAGCACCCCTAATCCTACAAGTCACTCTATACAGTTAGACTGCAGCACAGAATGTTGAGTAAAACTCAGGTCTGAAAGCTGCTCATTACATCATGGTACTTGATTATTAGCCTAACACCACAAAATCATAAAATTCAATGTTTTATGCTCTTTATTGTGTCTGTAAGTTTTCCAAAGTTACGGAGCACTTAATGTGCACTGAAATATTAGTAGAAAAGTCACAACGGACATACATCAGAAAAAAATGCATTAATATACTTGAAACATCATCTGACCTAAGATGCACGGCTGACCTGTCTTAATACTAAATAGTATAGAGTTCAAGTGCAGTTTTATGCTAGATGAGAGTATCCCTGCCACCAAAGGAAGCTCACTTGTCCCCAGCCCACACGCTATGCTTCTTTACTCACAGCACCTCTTGTGCTGACAAAAGCAGTTGTGTAGCTCTGCGTTGGACAGGTCAGGGAATTAAACTAGATGAAAACTCTTTTTTGTCTAACTAGTTTTCAGCTGGTTTAGTTCCTGGCTCACAGCACAACCTCTAGCAGCAGTACAAAATATGCAGTGGGTGTGAGCACCTGGGGGCAAACAGAGGACACAGATGGCCCACCCTTTCTGGCAGTTGCCCATACACACACCAGATTACACGGTGACTTCAGTTAATACAAATACACCGACAACATCTGGTCACAAATGGAATGTAATCAGCCCGCCCCCACCAACAGCCCTGAGGTGTTAGCTAGGGTCACTCATCAGCCAGTTTTCTGTGGGGATAGCCATGCACACAAGACATGCAAAGGGCAAGGACAGGGCCAACGCACACAACACTGCCACCCACTCCTCTGCCCTCCCACGCCTATTCCGGCCAGACCGCTCTCCTGGGCCTGCCGCAGACTCCCCAGAGGCTTTCTGACAGCCCTCGGGGCAAACGCCACCGGGGCCGGGCGTGCCCGCTGCCGAGGCAGAGTCCTGCCGCCGGAGGGAAAGCAGGCCCGCGACCCACCCGACAAGCTGCAGGAACTCACCCGCTTTTTGGAGCCTGGGCTGGGCCTTAGGTTGGCCAGACAGACCCTGGGCAGCGACCGCAGCAGCTCCAGGGCCTTGCTCCCACCGTTCCCGCTCATGTCCGCTCACCTCCCAAGGACGGCAGCGACGCTCTCCTGCGCGAGTTGCTTTACGGCAGAACCGTAAACCGCGACTCCCG